CACGAATAAGAACAAGTAGCAGCTGTCAGTAATATCTAACACGAATAAGAACAAGTAGCAGCTGTCAGTAATATCTAACACGAATAAGAACAAGTAGCAGCTGTCAGTAATATCTAACACGAATAGAAAATTCGTGTTTGAATTATTAATCTTACTTTTTCGGTCATATTTAATAATATATGTTTGCAAGAAAGACTGCTACCAAAAAATACTAAGAAATATATCTATATATCAGAAAAATATCTCGCGAAATATATCTATATATCCTGATATATAGATATATTTCTTAGTATATTTTGGTAGCAGTCTTTCTTGTAAACATATATTATTAAATATGACCGAAAAAGTAAGATTAATAATATATAAGATTAATATATCAGGAGCTGCCTTGTATGGACAAATAGGCCTTCAGCAGTTACCTTTATTCTTAGGTTCTTATATCTAGCATGAAATTGTTTTGATATACTCAATAGGTATATATCCACATTTCCTGGCGATGGAGAATGCAGTCTCCGTGGTGTAGTGGTAAGACACTCGCCTGGCGTTCCGCGAGCGCTATGTCATGGGTTCGTATCCTGGCCGGGGAGGATTTACTGGGCGCAATTCCTTAACTGTAGCCTCTGTTTAACGCAACAGTAAAATGTGTACTTGGATGAAAAAACGATTCTTCGCGGCGGGGATCGTATTCCAGGGACCTGCCCGAAACGCTACGCGTACTAGCGGCTGTACAAGAATGTAACAACTCTTGTATATATCTCAAAAAAAAAAAAAAAAAAAAAAAAAAAAAAAAAAAAAAAAGAATGACCACTTCATCATAAATGTATCACAAATAATGTAATTATATCACTAATAATATAAGCAAATACACATTCTCTGGAAATGGCCAAATTTTGCCATTTTTTTTTATCTCAAGAAGAGTTTTGGAAAAATGTGAAGCTTAAATTATTTTTTCTTTATATATTTTCCATATAATTTTGACAATTATCAAATCAGGTGACAAGTTGAACACAGGACAGGTGCTACTTGTTCTGTTAATTTATGGTTTTTTAACTTTATTTGTAACGAAACTCGGAATACATAAGCAAAATTTAAGACAAGTATTCTATAAGTTTATAATAAAATATTTATATCAGAAGTTATAGCGTTAAGCAATTTTTGGCGTCTAATTTTCAAATGGAAAATTCAAATTTCGAAACGGTGTTTTGTACTGAAATCATCAAATTTTTTTAACGGATTTTGATGAAATCCTTTACTCAAGAATTCAATGTAATTGGTGCTAAAATTGTTTTTATTTATTTTATCGGATTTCCTGTTTGTTTAATTTGTTTATCTGTTTAAAATTACATATACTTATATTTGAAAAATTATACCAAGGGATAATTTTCAAAGATCGTACCGTATATAAGCTGGTCATTAACAAGAAACAAATGGCTTTGGAACGATATTTAAACGAGTTTCAGCCTGTTTTGAAAGTGTAAATCTATATAGATTACATAACAAAAGTCTAAGCCTATTTGAATTCGTTTTGTAAAGTGAGTGATGTGGACGCCTTTTTAAAAAATACACGTCGAGTACAGGTAGTTGAAGTTATATCAGTGAAAAGATAGGAAACTCAACCATTTTAACACACAGAATACCGGTGGCAGTTTATCAAACAAAATTTTTTTATTAGTTCATGATTAATTCCTGTAGAAGAGGATTTATCGAGCAATCCTAAAAAATACTTCAAACTGATTGAATATTCCAAAAAATACTACAAACTGATTGAATATTTCAAAAAAGTACTACAGATTGAATATTCTATCTCTTCGGCACATATAGACTCGTACACAGGTCCATTAGGTACACAGGTACACAGGTACACAGTGGCAGATTGAGAAATGAAGGGTGAGGGGGAGGGAGGGAGGGAGCTGCTACCGTGTTGCTATCTGCAACATATTCCTGCTACTTGTGGGGGAACATGTGCAGAGATTTTTGCGCAAGGCAAATATCAGCATATTCAAATGCAACTCCCGAAATATGGTTAGAAACCGAACTAAAATATTTTTGCCAAAAGCGAGTTAGAGGCGATTGTATCGTATTGTGAGGGTGGTGGTGGTTGTGCTGGGGGGGGGGGGGTGGTTGTTTTGGAGGTCAGGGGAGGGGGGAGGGGTGGTGATTGTGTTGAGGGTGGTGGTGGTGGCAGTGTTAGAGGTGAGGATTGGGTTGTGGTTGTGTTGGCAGTGTTAGAGGTGAGGATTGGGTTGTGGTTGTGTTGGTAGTGTTAGAGGTGAGGATTGGGTTGTGGTTGTGTTGGTAGTGTTAGAGGTGAGGATTGGGTTGTGGTTGTGTTGGCAGTGTTAGAGGTGAGGATTGGGTTGTGGTTGTGTTGGCAGTGTTAGAGGTGAGGTTTGGGTTGTGGTTGTGTTGGTAGTGTTAGAGGTGAGGATTGGGTTGTGGTTGTGTTGGCAGTGTTAGAGGTGAGGATTGGGTTGTGGTTGTGTTGGCAGTGTTAGAGGTGAGGATTGGGTTGTGGTTGTGTTGGCAGTGTTAGAGGTGAGGATTGGGTTGTGGTTGTGTTGGTAGTGTTAGAGGTGAGGATTGGGTTGTGGTTGTGTTGGTAGTGTTAGAGGTGAGGATTGGGTTGTGGTTGTGTTGGCAGTGTTAGAGGTGAGGATTGGGTTGTGGTTGTGTTGGCAGTGAGGTAGCGGAAATTGCAGTTATTGATCGTGAGATTGTGAGTTATAAGGTCACGTTGGTTGTTATCTTGAGGTTATCTTGAGATGATTTCGGGGGTTTAGTGTTCCCGCGGCCCGGTCCTCGACCAGGCCTCCACCCCCAGGAAGCAGCAGCCCGTGACAGCTGACTAACACCCAGGTACCTATTTTACTGCTAGGTAACAGGGGCATAGGGTGAAAGAAACTCTGCCCATTGTTTCTCGCCGGCGCCTGGGATCGAACCCAGGACCACAGGATCACAAGTACAGCGTGCTGTCCACTCGGCCGACCGGCTCCCTCGGCTTGTGCATGAGATGCTGACCTGAGGTCCAACAAAGCCAACGTCTGAACTCACCAGTATGCAACCCAAAACAGTTGACTAGCTCCAAGGTACCTCTAGGCGAATAGAAACATCAGGGCCGGGACGGGTCGCCCAGCCCTGGAATCAGACTAGAGAGCAAATTGTATTATATTCTACCCACTTCAAGACCCCGAACCAACACAGAGACGGCTGAAGCAAGAACATAGGCTATTAATAATGACCTGTTAATACATCCATTATGTTTCATCCACTTGATCATTTCAATCACGTCCTGTACCCGTCCTGTACACGTCCTGTAAGGGAGCCGGTCGGCCGAGCGGACAGCACGCAGGACTTGTGATCCTGTGGTCCTGGGTTCGATCCCAGGCGCCAGCGAGAAACAATGGGCAGAGTTTCTTTCACCCTATGCCCCTGTTACCTAGCAGTAAAATAGGTACCTGGGTGTTAGTCAGCTGTCACGGACTGCTTCCTGGGGGTGGAGGCCTGGTCGAGGACCGGGCCGCGGGGACACTAAAGCCCCGAAATCATCTCAAGATAACCACCTCACGCCAAGAGAATATAAGCGACGTGGATCAAGAGAAGCAATAAAGAATGAGATGAAGCAGGAAAAATGGAAACTGACGAGAAGAAGCAATAAAGAAACTGAAGAGGAGAAAGAGTAAAGAGGAAGAGGCCCAGGCGAGGAAGGGGAATGTTTGGGGCGAGGAGAAGAGGGCGAGGGGCAATATGCTTGTAATCAAATATTGGATGAAAGTTTTCATCGCTCAAAGGAGGGAAAATATGGCTCAGAATTCATCCCGAATTCTGCGAGATGGAATTTTGCCTCTTGGAATATCAATATTGAACGCAGCCAAAAAACAATAGAAGAATATCAGGAAGTGAAAAGAGATAGAGATTGCGCTGTTTATGCATGTGTGTGTGTGTGTGTGTGTGTGTGTGTGTGTGTGTGTGTGTGTGTGTGTGTGTGTGTGTGTGTCCATCCACCTGCCAGCGTTCTGATGCTCAAGCTATCTAAATCTTTCCCTTTTGGATCCATATTACTTTCGACCAACACAAACTTTTGTCTACCATAATACTTAAATTCTTAACAGTGGGTTGACGGGTTCATAACTGTATGGCACATACAGGGAGGGAGCCGGTCGGCCGAGCGGACAGCACGCTGGACTTGTGATACTGTGGTCCCGGGTTCAATCCCAGGCGCCGGCGAGAAACAATGGGCAAAGTTTCTTTCACCCTATGCCCCTGTTACCTAGCAGTAAAATAGGAACCTGGGTGTTAGTCAGCTGTCACGGGCTGCTTCCTGGGGGTGGAGGCCTGGTCGAGGACCGGGCCGCGGGAACACTAAAAAGCCCCGAAATCAACTCAAGATAACATCTCAAGATAACCACATATAAAGGAGATGTCGAGTACCGATTGACACATTGCACGATGGTTATTGGATAGATTTATAACAGGAGAGCCGTGTACTGTACCAAATTGATTGGTTTAATTAATAACAGAGAGGTGCAATAACAGGTGAAATTTAATATTATTTGAAATATTGGCATCATATTTTTGTTCCGTTTCATTGACAGGTGTTATTAGTCACTGTTTGACAAATTAAAAGACAAGATTAATTAATGTTTTTACAAACTATAGATACAATAAAGGACTGACTATCATATTGAAAAATGGAGAATATAAACAATGACCTATAAGTGGAAAGGTCATTAATGCCGAGGGGAAAATGTAAACTGCATTGGTGCTGTTAGTAACGAACGCTAATTAACATGGGTAAATATATATAACATTTTACAAATGAACATAATAGAGACGGAGTCGAACAATGAGACGTAATTACATACAAAGAGAAACGGGACAAAAATAAGGATGAAGGAATAACAGATAAACTAAGGGGAAGAGAACTGATGGTGAAAAACAGGCGTACATCAGGAAAGGTTAACCTACGTTAACCTAGCCTACATTAAGACGGGTTAACTTACTCTGTACAGTCAGGACCTGTGCATCCAGGGATGGCTCGTTTGCAGAGAGTGCGCGTCCAGCCTGGAAATGAAAAGAAAAACGGGTTTTAACATTAAAATACAAACTTTTTTAACATTTAGGGATATAAAATATTCGTTATATATAGTGGGGTCTATTTTGTGTAATACAGTTTCAAAATAAAAATAATAATTGCAAATGTATAGAAGGTTGTAGGAGATGACATGTGAGAGAACGTTCGAGCCTCTCTAGGTTGAGAGAGAGAGAGAGAGAGAGAGAGAGAGAGAGAGAGAGAGAGAGAGAGAGAGAGAGAGAGAGAGAGAGAGAGAGAGAGAGAGAGAGAGAGAGAGAGAGAGACAGACAGACAGACAGAAAAAATACAAGTAAATGAATTCATTTAAGAGAAGGCAGGTGTATAAAAATGTAACTTTTCAACAAAACTGAAAACTTTTGAAATTATTAAATAAAAAAAATAATAAAACCTAATAGTATTTGGAAAGACATTAGTGTCACAGATTATATTTAATGCACAAGTTTTTTCGCATCTAAATATACTTTGCTAAAATCTCTGGAATTTCAGGTTATTTTATCATTTTCAAATTTCATCGTCCAATTTTTACATATACAAGATTATTTTTGTTTTGATCATTAATATTTATTTGACCTACTTTCCTTACTTTGTTTACTACGGTTGTTCTTTGCTCTTCGCTCACATTAAATTGGGAGGTGTACGACTTGTTGGTCTAAACATTTTGAAAATATTTAGATCACCTGAGAGATGGCTGGAGCTTCGTCAGCACAATAAGACTTACAAACACAACAATAACAAACCATTAGAGGGGTAGGCCTGACAGCTGAGTGGACAGCGCTCGGGATTCGTAGTCCTATGGTCCAGAGATCGATCCCCGGCGAACGTGGAAACAAATGGGCAGAGTTCCTTTCACTCAGATACCTCTGTTCACAGTAAATAGGTACCTGGGAGTTAGACAGCTGCTTCCCGGGTGTGTGTGTGTGTGTGTGTGAAAAAAATTATTGATTGACACCAGAGCTCTTTTCCCGCAAGCACAACTAGGTTCTTTGGCCAGTCACAACTGGCCAGTCACTAGCCTCTGTGGCCAGTCACTAGCCTCTGTGGCCAGTCACAACTGGCCAGTCACTAGCCTCTGTGGCCAGTCACAACTGGCCAGTCATTAGCCTCTGTGGCCAGTCACAACTGGCCAGTCACTAGCCTCTGTGGCCAGTCACAACTGGCCAGTCACTGGCCTGTGTGGCCAGTCACAACTGGCCAGTCACTAGCCTCTGTGGCCAGTCACAACTGGCCAGTCACTAGCCTCTGTGGCCAGTCACAACTGGCCAGTCACTAGCCTCTGTGGCCAGTCACAACTGGCCAGTCACTGGCCTGTGTGGCCAGTCACAACTGGCCAGTCACTAGCCTCTGTGGCCAGTCACAATTGGCCAGTCACTAGCCTCTGTGGCCAGTCACAACTGGCCAGTCACTAGCCTGTGTGGCCAGTCACAACTAGGTTCTTTGACACTGCATAAGATCAATGAGCTGTGAGAAATATATCAATTAGCATCTTGGTAAAAGCGAGTCAAATATGACAAAAATACCTTGGACAAAAAAGAGTTACGGACTATGTGTAATAACGGAAATTCAGGTTTCCCTTATACACTCAGGTGCAGGGTAAACCTGAGCTAGTTTCTATTCTAATGAAAAGTGGAAACTATTTTTTGAAAACGATGGAAGTGCATTGTTTCATTGTGAACTTTCTGGTGTAATTCAATTAGCTAGTTGGGTGGCATATCAGTTAGCTAGATGGTTTAGGTATTTAGCTTGGTGTCTGGTTAAGTAACTGATAGTTTGGTTGGGTGTCTGGTTGACTGGCTTGTTGCCTGGCTGCCTGTCTAGTTGCCTAGCCAGGTGGCTGTATGGTTGGTTAGACGACTGACTGGCTACCAGGGTGACTGGCCGAGCTCTCAGGAGTACTGAAACACAAGAACGCTTCTACAGTTCTCAATGCATTTTTCATTTTCATTGTTAACCTTGAAGGATAAAATCCTTGCTTCAGTATTTATTTAGTGAAAACTTGCAAGAACAATGGGCGTCCCAGGAGGTCTGTACAATTTTTAGGAGACGAAGAGAAACAGCGAGTGATCAAATATGAGTCTTACCATATGACGAATATTTGTTCTAAACATCTACAGTCTCTATCAGTCATTTGGTTTTGGAATATATTTGTACTTGGCTTGGTACAGGTCTTCTGCGTTTTCCTACTACCAAATCTATATTTATATGGATTAATTTAATTTCTACATAACACTCTCGTCTTCCTTTTCTATCTGTGCATTCGCTTCCTAGTTCATTATTGTTTGTTCTATCTCTTATTTATTCCCCTGCCTATCCATCTCTGTCTTCCTCATCCCCTCATTCTTTCTTCTGTTCATATTAATTCTTAGTAAAAGCTGCGTGAAAATTTGAAAGTCCACACGAGATTAATTTTAAACCCTGATTGGGGGCAAAACAAAAACAAAAATCACTGTGCGGTTGATATCTCAACCTGAACTGTATGTGTGTTTCAGAGTAAAATAAATATATAGCTGGATATACCAGGGAATGGTTGAGGAAATTACAAGTAGAGAAAACCATATGAAAGATGAACTCACTGACAGACACGTGGACTCCAGATGACGTTTCATAGAATGAAACAAATACTAACTTCCTGAATCATGTTAAAATCGCGTCTCGATGAGTCTCATTTGTTCAGGTAATCCAATTACTGAAAGTATGCATACGATATTTATATAATGTAAACCACATATCCAGTCCTTCCGTCTATTGTGGTTGTGTTCAGTCAATGAGCACGATCCGTTTCAGTAGGGAGGGAAGGCTGTATTATGCTTCAAACAGGGAAATAGCCATTTCAACGAATAAGCAAGATCTGTATTATTGCAAGAGATAATGTTTTTTTGCTTCAAACAGGGAATTAGCCATTTTTTATTTAGCATGAGTGGGTAAGTTGAAGTGGACGTTGAGCACTGTCCGCCTGACCTTCCACGATTCTTTTATAATGCATAGACCGAGCATTTAGAACTCTTTTGCAGTCTTTAGGTCGAAATGGGCTCAAGGGATTATATATGTGAAAGAGACTGTGTGTTACCTGTTGAGTCTATTCGTTTGGGTGTCTCATTTTCACTCATATTTGTTTTGGATATGTAATTTATGTTCCTTTACCACGCTTCAAACTGTTAATAGTCAGTTTAGTTACCTCCAAATATAATTTGATCATGTGTTGTTTATATCCAAATGCATGTACCGTATGCATTTTGTCTCTTGTTTTTTTCAAAGAGTGTCCTTTGACCCTGTTTCTCATTATCTGCAACAGTCTGTCCTTGTTCACTTTGTACACGTCTCTCAGTATATTCTCTCATTCTCTGAATCATTTTTTCTCCAGTGATTGTGGTGGAGGTATTCGGGAGTCAGGGAAGGAGAATACTTCACTCTAGTGAGGTATTCACTTGAGAGAGTCATAGTGGACAAACAAAATCTGCGTCTTCCTAATTAAGCTCAGGAAAATTATTTCGACGGAAATTCAGTGATGAATGAGATACTAGAGCACGCTATTATAAGATAAAGTTTATATAAAAGGAAATGGGAGGTTTTCTGTTGCTTGAAGAAGTCCTGTACATGTGAAATCTGAACACTACTGTTCTGTTTTCAGTCACAAAAAAAGTTCCGTAACTGAGCGCTCACTCCTGTTTAGCCTGACCAACACGTTCCATGTGAATGTTCCCTTAGAGAATACTAAATTTATGACACTCTAAACAGAAACATCTGTTTTACGATCCAACGTACATTTTCGGCATTATTTTATTTTTATGACCTCTCGAACGACCCTCTTGTTGGGAGGAGAAGTGCACTTCTGAGAATAACTTGCACGAAAATCTTCGCTTTACCAGGTTAGGAACTCACAGGGGGCCGTGTGTGGCCGAGAGGCGATGAAGTGCAGACCCCTTCAAGGAATACACCTGCCTGGGGTCAGACGCGTCCACCTCCCACATGTACACAGATGTGGGGGCACCAGAGAGGCCACTGGAATGCCAGGTGTGTGTCAAGCGCGGGTGTGTGCGTGTGTGCTCCAATGAGCGTGGGGATATTTATTGGCATAGAGAAGTCTCGGGGGCACGGAGAGCTATTAGGTACCTGCAGGTCTTACTAGTCGTGGGTTTGGTAGTTCGCGACGTAACCCATCCAGTAACTGTCTAGGGTAAGCAGTGATTAACCCGACTGATCGAGTGACGTGCACATCATCCACAAGCAAAAGGGGAATTTTGTCGATTAGTTCTGTGCAGCACATTCTGTCAACACTGAAACCTGCTATAATTATTGCAAAGTGTTTCCTCCATGTCTACATGAATATTTAATTTTGAAATATACAGGAACCATTTAATAATTGGTAGCCAATTACCAATTATTACGGTGTTCTGAATGTTGAATCTTGGTGGAAGGGGGGAGGGGGGGGAGTGGAGGTTTGGGGAAGTACGTTATGAGCTCTGGCAAGAGGGGTTAAGGGAGAGGGGTTACTAGAAAATATATAATATTTTAGTGTGTTCCTATTGTGCATTTTCATGAAGGTATCGACTTAATTCGTCTATTTCTTGCTCTTATAATACACAGCAGTGGTGAAGTTTGACCTATTTATCGAGACACATTATCCCTCACACCATTATGGTAGAGCTTTACCCTCTCACCATCATGGGGAGAGCGTAACCATTAACTTCTCCAAACTTCTATCTAGCCAATGACGATGCTCACCAGGCGGTCACCTATTTAATTATTAGCCAAACCCCTGGGTGTTCAACTGACCTAGTAACGTCATGCACTACACCACACGCCGGGGGACATCAGGAGACATCAGACGTGATGTAGCTACTTAATTATATATTTTCTTATTGAGGTTAATTGTCTGTATAACACGGAAGTCTTCCTAGGCTGACGGTATAAAATAGGGTGCTCAATAAGTTGCTACTTTTAGCAGTGGTGGTGTGACGTATGTTGATGGAAC